CATCAAGAAAACTCATCAACTCATGCCCGGCCATTACGTCAATCATTTGATCAATGTTTGGAAACGGGAACGAGTCCTTTGGGCACGCCTTATTCAGATCCTTATAATCTACGCACATGAGAAATTTATTATTCTTTTTTGGAACTACTACTACGTTAACTAGCCAGTCGGGATACTATACCTCCCGGATTAAACAGATATCAAACAATCGAGTTACCCCTGCTTTGACAAACTTGTTTCTGACCTCGGCAATCAAGCGCTTCTTTTGCCTTACACGAGGGATGTCGGGGTCCAGTCATATCCCTCTAGCAGAATACCTGTCATATCCGCATGTGACTATGCAAAACAATCATCATTAATATTAATAAATTCTATAAATTCTTACCTGAGCTCGGGATTTAATAGTCCCCAAGTGGAACTTCCTCTCTAAGAATTTTTCACACAATGCAACTTGTTCGAGTTCTTCCGCCGTGGATTTGGTTGCGTCCGTTTCTTCCGATACCTGAAAATATCTTGGTACCTGATAGGATTCCGACGGCTCCTCCCCTTTGTTGATTTTATTTGGTTTGGGAGAGGGCATCAGTTCCCGTAATTGCTATGCTGTATGTTCATTCCCTTTACTGCTGGAAACCGAGATCGCGTTCATCTCTCTTGCCGCCGGTTGATCTCCCCTTATTTTTTTTATTCTCTCTGGAGCTGGGAATTTCAAATGTTGATGGTATGCTGACGGTACTGCCTTCATCTCGTATAGCCATGACCTGCCAAGAATTATATTGTAGTCTATGTCGCCATCTACCACTTTAAACAGGGTAGTTTTCATGATCCTTTGGCATTCGTGAGCAGCAGGATCTCCCCTCGGGTTGTCACGCTTGCTAAGTTGAACCCCACGAGGAGCTTTGTGGCTTGAATGATGATTCCGATTAATTTGGATTGCTCTAGCTAGGGGTGTTCATGGTTCGGTTTGGATCGGTTTTTCCCTAAAGAGAAACCAAACCAAGTAAGTCGGTTCTTCAAATATTGGAACCAAACCAAACCAATTAAGTCGATTTTTTATCGATTCGGATTTTATCGGTTTTTCAGTTTTTTATCGGGTTTTTTATTAAATATGAAACATACACTATCAAACACATATTTCGGAGACTACATTTTTAACGTAACACTATCAAACCAATTTCTCTTTGAGAAATCTATCATTTACCAAGATATATTGATGATGAATGAATCAAATAGTGATGAATAATTTAAGTACTAAATTAAAAATCGATTATTTTTTACATGAAATAAATTTTTGTACTTAGCAAAAGAAAACTACAAATCAAACTATAATGTAAAGGTAAAGAACTAGATTATTATAATAGCAAACAATTAGACTAAAAATACAAATGACTAATATGTTCCATAAAATTTTGAAACTTTATATAAAACTATACACATATATATAGGTATAATAATAAATTTAAATAGTTATTTCTATAGATGGTTTAGTTCGATTTTTTCTAATTATTTTTTGGTTAAAACCAAAACCAAACCAAATTTGATCGATTTTTAAAATGCAAAACCAAAACCAAATCAAAACTAAAAAGTATCAGTTTTTTGGTCGGTTTGGTTCGGTTTTTCGGGTATTTATGAACACCCCTAGCTCCAGCACTCTCCATTAAATGATATTGGTTGAACTTCCTAGGTCAACCAAAACATGTTTAATTTTAAAATATAAAACATGAAGAGAAATTACGAGGGCATCGTTGTGCAATTTTAGAAGTCCATCGACGCCCTCATCTGTGAAGGTGATATCATCCTCGGCGACTTCCCGGAGTCTCTTGCTATGAGTCACCGATACCTTTATCTTTTTTGCTTCTGAAAAGGTTACACCATTGATCTCGTTCCCCCAAAAATTATGTTGATCGTTAGTCGAGGAGAATCTTCTTCTATCTTCGAGGGCTCTGCGTTATCCCGGTTGTGGTCGTAGTTATGTTTAGCCCGGTTGCTTAAGAACTCTCTGAGATGGCCGTTTTTCAGCAACGTCGCCACCTCATCTCGCAGATATCGGCAAGTCCCCAGCCAAGTGGCTGTTAGTCCCATGATACCCACACCATAAATTAGGATCCCTATGACTGGATCAGATCTCATCGGCCTCGGGAACCATGCTTCCATAATGTTCCTCATCGCCGATACCAACTTCAACGCGCTGACATTAAAATTATACTCAGACAGTCTAGGGTAGGTGGAATCCTGGGAGCCTGATATCTCTTTATCCTGCAATGACATGTTATTCCGGCAAGGTCAGTTCTCCTATCAGGAGCGAACCTGTCTGCTGACCAAAAACTTATACCGCGTCCTTCGGCCTTTTCGTAGGGCAAAACCCCGCCCTTAGAAGATCGCCGATCTATGTCAAAATCATCCTTCGACTTATGTCAAAATCATCTCGATCCTAACCATTGGTTGATGCTGGAAAATCGAGATGGTCGTCTTCTATTCTTATCTTTGATTCGTAGCGGTTGTGGACATCTCCCCATGTAGTTGCCTAAAACTCGAGCATGTTTTCTTTCAATTTTTAGGAAGTGTCGGAGCTCCTCGAGTTCAACATTGTAGTGAACGCCTTAGCCGCTCATTCATATGACACGACCGGTAGCAGCATCATTTCCTTCTAAAACCTGGTCACAAACTCCCACAGCAATTCGAACTCTCCTTGCACAATTCTGAATATGTTGGCCTTTCGGCCCTGCACCTTCCTAGCCCCGGCATGGGCCTTGATGAAAGAATCTGTGAGCATCTCAAAGGAATTTATTGAGCGCTCAGGTGAAAGCGAATACCATGTCAGGGCCCTCTTCGTGAGGGTTTCCCCGAACTTCTTCAGCAGGACCTACTCTAACTCATGCAGAGCTAAGTCGTTTCTTTTCACCGTCGTTGTGTAGGTGGTGATGTGCTCCCGAGGATTCGAAGTCCCATCATATTTTGGTACGCCTGACATTTTGAATCGCTTCGGGATTAACTCTGGTATCTTGCTCGGTTTGAAGGACAACTGGGTGTATTTCTTTAAGTTCGGTCCCTTCAACACTGGTGGTGTTCCCGAAATTTGGTCCATTCAGGCATTTATTTCCCTCATAAACTGCATGAACTCAGTTTTAAAGGCATCGTTACCGTTGTTACCAGATCCACAACCGATTCCAGCCTCGTCGAATCTGACCTCACCCCTCGGGATGTTGTTATCGACCCTTTGCGTTGTTTGGTTTGCGGGAGCACCGGGAGGAACTGGACCTCTTCCATTCGCATTTTTGGAAGCACCCGACAATGCTTACCTTAATTCTGTCATGGCCTGGTCTTGCAGTGAGAGATGGCATGTCTTTTGTTGTTCTCTCAAGATTCTCACTATTTCCGCAGCATGCTCGTCTTCGGCATTATCAGGAATCGCCTCACGTACGTGTCGCGAATATTGCCCGCCAAGAACCGGCTTGGCTACGTCCTCCTCATTGCGGGTGTCGCTGATCGAATCATCGTGTTGAGGAAGGTTCTCTTGTGCTTCAACGTTGTGTGCGATGTTGAGATCATTATCTGCCATCTTTTACGATTTTTGCTAAGAAACAAAGAATCAAACAGATTAGTAATAGATGCAAGGATCAACTCAATTACGTAACTGTCTAAGCCCCACGGTAGGCGCCAAACTATTTACCCGTAAAATAGTACAGTTGAATTTATAACGTAGTTTATAGACAAACAAATCGATTTGATCTCAAAATGATAAATAATTTAAATAAAATACAAAACTTAGCGTTGAAATCAAGATAAGATAGCAAACGACTTGGTTCCGGGAGCAAGGCTTCCGAAAACAATAATAAGAATATTGATAGAAAGAAAATAAAGTATTATTGAGCTTAGAATAATGTGTAGCATAAGTTTGTCAGATTTTTCGTGTGTTACAATGACTGTTGAAGTTACTATTTATAGTTATACCTAGGGAATAAGGTTCTAGGATCAAGTCCTTTTAAATAAAAATTATGGGGGCCATTGATGAATATATAACGTCATGCTATGAATGCCAAAATTCTCTGTAACGGATTGTGTATCCATTAAATATTTGTTTGTCCTCATTTGCAATGTTCCCCTCGGGGTCTGCCCGATACCAACCGAAGCTGTTATTCTCGGTTTTAGTTTCTACTTTTTTCGTCTTCCTTTTGTCTCCGATTTCACGTGCCATTCTATTATTCGAGTATTTAATATGAAGCGATTTTACCCCACACTTATATATGGATGTTCAATGTAATTTTACCCAAATAAAAATCCAACATATTGGTTTTTCCTTTTAGGGATGAGAATATCTTCTTCTTAGAGCATATATCTAATGCATGTCATGAAATTAATACCGACTACATTCAAATTTCAAACAATGGAGCATTAGATAATCAAATAAGGTAATGAATTCTAAAATTTAAAATTTCTTAACGTCAAATACGTGTGGTTATTAATAGAACTTTTTTAATGCTATAAATCTGACAAATTAAATCAATTTAAACCAAACGCACCTAATTACATTGACACGTTTTTCATGATAGGAAACGTGAACAAAGAAGACATATCGCAATACATAAACTATCATTCAATAAGTCAAGTAAATCCTCAACAATTTAAATACTCTTACTTTTCAATTTAGGTGATATTCTTTCTCTTTTAGTTTGTGTAAAAAATAATAGTATATTTTTATATTTAAAAATAAATTAATTTAAAAAATATTACTTTAATTTCACTAAAATAGAAATATTTATAATTTCCTTTAGAATAAAATTCAAAAGTAATTTTTTTTAAAATTTCGTACACGTCAAATAACATTAGATAAATTGATATGAATGGAGTGGACTAGAAAACGTTTTTTTTTTTTTAATTTTAAAATAACGGAATCCGTGGAGTATGATTCCATGATTCTCTCCCAAATGTACTGAACTTTTCCCTTTCTCATTTTTAGTACAAACAAACAAATCCCATAAATATTGAAGTCAATTTATTAGTCATGGATAACTAACACGGATAAGGCTGACACATTCAGCTGATGATGTCAATTACACCCCCCAACAAATCCCATAATCTTTCTTGTACTCAAATACAACTCTGAAACACCCTCCTATTAAGAGACACTCAAGTTCCGTGTTCACTTTCATAGTTTTCTTTGCGGGGTTTAAGCATTTGAACAGAAAACAAATTTGCAGAGAGAAAACAAATCAAGAAAATGGGCACTGAGGAGTCCAAGAAACGCCCTCTTGTCTTTGCTTACTATGTTACCGGTCATGGCTTTGGCCATGCCACTCGAGTTGTTGAGGTCTCTTTTTCTTCTCTATTTAGTCTAAAAATGTAATCTTTAGAATATTTTTCTCTTTGTGTTGGTGGGTGTCTCTTTGTTTCTGTAATATTTGATCACTTGGTTGTTCTTGATCTTGTTGCTTCATCTGATCATGGATTTTTCTTGAATTGGAGTTGCATGTGATTTCATTACTTTGATTAACTACTTAGTTGCTGAGATAGGAAGTTGAACCAGAAAAGAACTGGTCTTCATTGGTTACTTTCATTTGACTGTTTGTTGCTAGTGTTATCAAGAACCAATATATTTGTATATTTTAGGTTTTAATTTCAATTGGCTTATTAGATAAGTTTGCAAAGTATTTCCTCTGTCCCAATTTATGAAAAGATTATTGAAACTTGAAACCTGTGATCTAAAACAAGTCATAGAGATTTGTGTGTCTATAAATCTATCTCACTACGGGTAAAATGGGAAGTTCAAAGTTAATTCGTTTCTAAATATAAAAGATGTCACTCTTTTTGAGACAAACTAAAAAGGAAAGTGTACGACGTAAAGGCAAAGGAAAAATGGGGAATGGTGCAATTGTTTAATTAAGAGCAAAAGCAACTTTTTATAACAATAAGGGCACTGTTTAATTGCAGTAATGTATTTGTCCAATCTTAGTAAAATGAATGTAAGTAGAGTGCTGTCCCAATGGCTGTGCTATTTCAACAAGCGTCACGATCCCTCAAGTGTTATGATTTCATAGTTTAATTCTGTAGATGATGGTGCATCAAAAGATAGTGCAATTTCCCTGCTTGTCGGTTGTGGTTTAAATCCTTATTCATTGTCTTGCATTATGGAAATTGATTCCTATTTCAATGGCTGTGATCATTTTGCTGCTTAGGTCGCTAGAAATCTCATCCTAGCTGGGCATGATGTTCATGTCGTCACGGGTGCACCTGACTTTGTCTTTACATCTGAAATACAATCTCCTCGGCTTTTCCTGCGCAAGGTCTGTTGATCATCAACTGCTCCCTTGTTGAATAACTCCTAATTTTACTTTTTCAATGAATTCATTTAACTATTTTTAACATTGTATAACACTTTTAGGTATTGTTGGATTGTGGAGCAGTTCAAGCTGATGCTTTGACAGTGGACCGTCTTGCCTCACTAGAGAAGGTATACCCGCTTACTGCTTTCAGCCAATTTAGTGAAGATTATAATTCCATTGCAGTTTTTCTTTGTTATATTGTTAGATGAGATATTATTCTTGCCTGTCTTACTTGTTGTATGTGTAAACTTTGTTGCTTTAGTATTCTGAGACCGCTGTTGTACCACGTGCATCCATCTTGGCAACGGAAGTGCTGTGGCTCAAATCCATCAAGGCAGATTTTGTGGTAAAAGAATTGATTCTCTTATTTCATCAAGAACAAATTAAAAGTACTTTGCTGGCTTTCTTTTATTTACTTCAATAAGTTGCCTGACTTTGAGGCTGCTATTAGTAGCCACTGTGTTAAATAGATACGGGAATGTAAGAGTGAATAGAAATGATTTAAAGTGAATACTTAGCACTATTCTTTTTGTGAAGTAGTCTCTGTTTTGTAGAATAAGAATGTAGGAAGGTATCATTTCTTTTGGAAGCTTGGCTTAGGAGATAAACGACCTTGTCGATCTTAGCACTACTTTTTTGTGCACTGCTCTCTGGGTTACCAGTACCACTATAAAGCTGGTTGTTCATAGTTATACCGGCAATAACAAAAGGGAAATTTTTTCTCTTATTTCCAAAAAGTGGTTATTGTCTTTTCTCGTTTACGTCTCTCTAAGTGATTTGGGGGAACTTTATGATGTTTATGTGTATGTATTCTGGAAACAGGTATCAGATGTTGTTCCAGTTGCTTGCAGGGCAGCAGCTGATGCTGGAATTCCATCTGTTTGTATCACCAACTTCAGGTTTTCCACTTTAATCCCCTTTTTTACTTCATAACTTCTTTTTCTTCTTCCTTTTTTTTTTTGGGTGAAATGGAAGTGTACATAACGATACAACAATTATTCAGGTAAATAAAGCTCAAAGTGAAATACTCCTAGCTTGCTTCTTCAATTGGAGGTTTAGAACGGGACACCCATATTATATACACATACTTTTAAGTCCTAAAGAGGTGTGAGAGGTAAACATTGGAGGGCCTACGGAGAGGTAGAGATAGGCCAAAGAAGAGGTGGGGAGAGGTGATTAGGCAAGACATGGCGCATCTTCAGCTGACTGAGGACATGACCCTTGATAGGAAGGTATGGAGCTCGAGGATTAGGGTAGTAGAGTAGGTAGTCTACAGTGTTCATAACAGTAGTATTGACACGCAATCTCGCTTTCTGTGGGCAATAGGTTTTTATGACTAACCGTTGTTTTCTTTCATTGTTGATTATCTTAATATCTTGTTGTTTTTATTCTGCTTTTATATGGCTTTTTGGTACTATCCCTTCTTGTCTATATTTTCATTAATGTGGTGCTTATGCTTTCCTGAGCCGAGGGTCTATTGGAAACAGCCTCTCTATCCTCACAAGGTAGGGGTAAGGTCTGCGTACACACTACCCTCCCCAGACCCCACGGTGTGGGATAAGACTGGGTATGTTGTTGTTGTTGTTGTAAGCTGTTGTACAACCCTGCAATTGATGGAGTATGCCCCTTTGTTGGTTGTCATTATGTTCGTTCAGAAGATCTAGGTTCAACAAACACCCCTTATATATATGCCGTTATTTATTTTCTTGTAGCTGGGACTTCATCTACGCAGAGTATGTAATGGCAGCTGGAAATCATCATAGGTCAATAGTGTGGCAGGTGAGATCTGAGAGCTTAACCGTTTCCTGCTACTATTTCATTCCTTAGCTTGATAATGCTTTATTATAACTCTCACACTGTTAGCTTTGTTATGGTTGCTGATTAATTGTGAGATGTGAACCTTGTCCGAGTTTTACCTACAGTTTATTTCAGTTTAATTATATTCTTCCATAATGTTAAATATCTCTTCTTTTTGGTGGCTTTATGTCTAATGCAGATTGCAGAGGACTATTCCCATTGTGAATTTCTTATTCGGCTGCCAGGATATTGTCCAAGTATGTTTGTGTGCCGCGTACCAAAATGCTGTTTTATTTGTTTTCCTGCTCTTCATCAACTATAGCTCAATTGCTTAATATCGCAGTGCCTGCTTTTCGTGATATAATTGACGTGCCGTTGGTTGTAAGGAGATTGCACAAATATCGCAAAGAGGTCAGGAAACAGAATGTTCACTCTTTGTTTGAAAGAGCTTGAATAATTGTGAAAATATGTGTCTAGAGATGTTAGCTTATTTTCATTATTGTAGGTGCGGAAAGAACTTGGAATTGGGGAGGATGTGAAAGTTGTTATTCTGAACTTTGGTGGACAGGTGAGTCGACAAATCTCTTTGACTATGTCATCTAGTGAATATATCAACAGTGTTAAAATATGTCAAGAAGCTTTGGCTGCAGAACTGAATTTGGTTGCTAACTTTGCTTCCCCTTTTTCCTTTGCAATTTGCCAAGATCGCGTATCATCATGTTCTTGTTCCTTAATCAGTTTTGACTCTTGTGTTTAACTTCAATTTTGGTATTTTTAACCATGTTTGGTTCGGCCCATGATCTTGGTGCTGTAAAGTAAGCGATATTGATTTGCGAATTAGAAAGTTTAGTAATATAGTTTGATAAGGCAAACAAAGAGTAATTTATCAGTTTTACGATTGCTTACCTGTTCCAAAACGAAAGAAGTTGTCAATAACAAGATGAAGCTAAAACATTTTCAGGTAAATAGAAAACATAGTAATAACTTTTGAATGAAAAATACTCCCTCCCTCCCATTTTATGCTCAACTATTTTTAGATATTAGTTTGTCTCGAGTAGTATAGAAGTAGTAATGGAAGAAAATATTTAAACAGCTGTTAAAAAGTTAATTTATCTAGGAAATATCACATTAAAGAATAATTTGATTAGTTAATTGTATTTGAGTTGTGAAAGTTGTATAGAATGATATAATTAGTTAAATGGTGTCAAAGAACTTCGGATGTCCCAAAACAGAAAGAGTTTTGTGTTAATTGTGAAAGTTTATGTTTTCCAGATTTATTACCATTTACCGTAAAGGAAGGGGTAGTTCTGGAGTAAAAGATATCTTACTTTGGGCATCTCAAAAGTGAAAGAGAAAGAAAAAACATCTGGGACAGAGGGCATATCAATTTTGTTGTTTCAATGTTGTCTTTCACAACTTCTCACTCATAGAAATATCCAATATTTAACATATCGATACTAGAATAATGGAAGGAGAACCTTGGAGCAACGGTTAACTTGTCACCTATAGGTCACATATTCGAGCTGTGGAACCCCCCCCGCTTTTTTTTTCTTTTTCAGATTCTCGAATAATGCACCTATTTTCATTTGTAGCCCGCAGGTTGGAAGTTGAAGGAGGAGTACTTACCAACTGGATGGTTATGCCTGGTATATGATCTCTTGAACTTTCAAGCCAATGTGGTATTTCCTAATTTAACATCTTTCCTGTCTAAATTCAGGTTTGTGGTGCCTCTGAGAGCCAGCAACTACCTCCAAATTTCATAAAGCTTGCAAAAAATGCATATACTCCGGATATAATGGCCGCATCAGACTGCATGCTAGGTAAATTGCATCACTGAAATGCTGGGTAAAAAGTTAAAAGTTATTCCAATAAAGCCCCTTCTGAATGGTCTTTTATTCCAGGAAAAATTGGATATGGTACCGTTAGCGAGGCCCTGGCTTACAGGTTACCATTTGTATTTGTTCGTAGAGACTACTTTAATGAAGAACCATTTCTCAGAAATATGCTTGAGGTAGAGTAAATTGGCAGAAGTTTCTTTCTTTTAGTTATTTTTCTTTATTACCTCAAGGTTTTTGTGAAGATATACTGGAATTAAAGCCTATAATTTTAATAATAGTATTATCAAGGTGGTGTTGAGATGATCAGAAGGGATTTACTTACTGGACATTGGAGACCTTACCTTGAACGTGCAATGACTCTGAACCCATGTTACGAAGGTGGAACTAATGGTGGTGAAGTTGCAGCTCGTATTTTACAGGATACAGCTTATGGTAAAAACTATACATTAGACAAGGTAAAGTTTTTGTATTCACTAATCAAATAATTCCTCATTTTTGTCTATTTTGATTAAGAATAATCCAGTAGCTAAACTAATAAATGTGTACCCAGTACTTATATCCTGAGATTTGCTCTTATCTGACTTTTAGCTGAGTGGGCCAAGAAGACTGCGTGATGCCATAGTTCTTGGATATCAATTGCAAAGAGTTCCCGGTAGAGATCTCTGTATTCCAGATTGGTATGCAAATGCCGAAAGTGAACTTGGTCTTCGCACAGGATCACCTACTGCTGTAACAGCTGAAAATAACTCTCTAACAGACTCGTAAATTCTCTTCTTACATCCCATTTGTTCAGCGTTGAACAGAATAATTGCTGAGTGTTAATAAGGGTTGATGTTTTTGATTTTCTTATCTTTTAGATATCCTCAGGACTTTGAAATTCTCCATGGAGATTTTCTTGGTCTGTCAGATACGCTAAGTTTCTTGAAGAGCTTGGCAGGATTGGATGCTTTGGTTGATTCCCCAACTAAAACAGGAAAGCACAGCATTAGGGAGCGGAAAGCTGCCGCTGGTCTTTTCAATTGGGAGGTCGTCTTCATTTCATGCCAAACTCTGTTATGTAATTTTATTTGGTTGACTAACACTGCAACTTCTCACCACTCATCCTCACAACAACCCCCCCACCCCCACC